AAAAGTAGAAGTTGGGCTGGAGAGATGGCTCAGCAGTTAAAAGTACTGGCTTACTGGCTGCTCTTCCAGAGGACTTAGGTTCAGTTCCCAGCACCCCACATGGAAGCTAACAACCATCTGTAACTCTAGTTCCAGATCCGATGCCCTCTCTGACCTCCGTGGACATTGCACGGCATGACACAGGTATACTTGCACACATGCAGGCCATATGCTCATACACATTAAAAAAATAGAAGTCTCCAGAAAAGTACAAATTAAGATAGTCACTGTATCCTTTAAGTTTGTTCTTTTGCCTGTGTCTCCAGTTCTCTAAACCTTTGTAGCTTCTTGAATCAGCAGTATTTTGAATCTTGAGCCCCCTGCATAGTGATTCACTATTCTATATTCCCTGAGCGTCAGTTTTCCTCATTTCTAAGGGAATGAATTTTTTAATACATACTTTTGAAACTGTTCTAGTAAGCACGTGGCATTTAATGTTCATGACATATTTAACATAATGCTGTGGTCTGTGTGACCTCATCGGGTTCTACCACTGCCATTTTGCAGGATCTTCTGCTCATTCCTAGATGGGCTTTCTGTTTAACAAGAATGAGTTTCACTTTTCTCTTCTTTTCTTCACCAGGAAGATGTCATCAACACTCAGTGTGGCTATGATGCCAGGCAAAAACCAGTAAGTGGAAGCTGCCCTTGCAGCTTAGCACACAGGGTGTTTGGAAGAGCTTTTGCGCATGCACAGGGACTGTATCTGTGACATTCTGCTCTCCTCTTCCCTTGTGAAGGAAGTTGACCAGCAGATCGTAATCTACACGAAAGGCTGTGTGCCCCAGTTTGAGAAGTGGCTCCAGGACAATTTAACCATCGTGGCCGGTATTTTCATAGGCATTGCATTGCTTCAGGTAAGGCAAGTGTTTTTAATGGTGCTCACACAGTGGTGCTCAGGAGAGCCCTTGCCAGGACGGGAGCTGTGATTAGCTTCCTCAGTGCCATAGCTTTTCAGACACATTGGCGGTCCCGCCAACAGACTGAAACTATTGGATTTGTGTTTTATTCAAGGTCTGATTTTAGATCCTGAAACATGCTAGGAAACCTTTTTTCCTTTTCACCAGGGCGAGGTTGCTCGGGTCACAGGCTGTTGGCTGGCATGCCATTGCTTCCATGGACTTGGAGGACTCCATTGTGATATCTGGGGTAGACATGGCTGCTCAGAGTGGACCTCAGGCTTTGGGAGTTGCAGAGATTCTGGTGCCCTTCATCTCTCTGGACCAGCTTGCCAAAGCACTAGTGAGGGAAAGGCGCCAGCCTTTTTTCCTGGGAGGTCTCAGGAGCTGAGTCTTCATGTTGATGTGATATTTTCCTTGGACGGTCACAAGCAGGCAAGAGTTGAAGGAAATGAAAAAAGTCTTAAGTAAACAGAAAGACACCCTGTGCTTCCAGATTGTAAGGCATAATGTTCAAATGGCACTGCTGCTCACGCTGATCTAGAGTTTTTGTGCAGTCCGTGCCTCTTTCATAATAATGGACAGGCTAATCCAGAAATTCACGTAGAACCACAAGAGGCCAGAGTACACAAACCAATTTGGAAAAGAACAACAAAGATTTCTCCATTCACATTTCCCAATTAAAAACTTAACAAAAAGTTACGGGATTCAAGCTAGCATGTATTCACATAAGGTTAGCCATTATAGATAAGTGGAATTCAATTCCAGACAGAACTTCGATGAGCTTTGATAAGGCAAAAACAACAGGAGAGGGAGATAATCTTTTCAACAAATGGTGCTGGGAATACTGGTTTTCTCTTTGTAAAGGAATAGATCTTAGACCCCTATCTCCTATAAATATTAACTTAAAATAGATTGAAGACTCAAGCCGGGCATGGTGGTGCACGCCTTTAATCCCAGCACTTGGGAGGCAGAGGCAGGCAGATCTTTGTGAGTTTGAGGCAAGCCTGGTCTACATAGTTCCAGGACAGCTGGGGCTACAAGGAGACCCTGCTTCAAAAAGACAAAAACAAAAAACTCAAGCAGAAAGTAGCAAATTAACTAAAATAATTTAAAAAAATAGATCGAAGACTCAAATTTAGACAAGTGTGGTGGTATACACCTGTAATCTAGCTATTCAAATGACTGGAGTACGAGGGTCACTTAAGAGTACAAGACCAGCCTGGCTGTGGTAGTCAGACCCTCTCTCAGTGAACAAAAACAAACAAACAAATCTCAATATAAAAGCCAGAGCTGTGAAGAAAACACTGACATAAACCTTTGGGACTTTGGGTTCTGCAGTTTCCTCAGATCCTATGATAGCAAAAATACAACCACCAAATAAAACATGAATAGGTGGAACTTTATCAGAATTTAAACTTATGCATTAAAAACGATGACATCAAGGTCATTCACAAAACAGAAAATATTTATAAATCTTTACCTTAAAAAGATCTAATATCAGGGGCTGGAGAAATGGCTCAGCAATTAAAAGTACTGGCTATTCATGCAGAGGACCAAGGATCAATTCCCAGTACCCATATAACAGCTAACAACCATCTGTAACTCTAGCTCCAGGGGATCTGATGACCTCTTCTGACCTCCTGGGGCATTGTGTGACTTGGGTGCATTTACATACAGCAAGCAATACACTCTACACATAAAACAAAAATAAAATATTTTTTAGAAAGGTCTAATATCTAAAATTCACACACACACACACACACACACACACACACACACACACACACACACACACAAACATATACACCAAACAACAGAAAACTCAGGTGCAGTGGTGAACACCTGCACTAGGTGTTTACTGAGTGAATTGTGAATTCAAGGCCAGCCTGGGCTGCCTATAAGACTCGGTTTTAAAATGAACAAAGGATCTCAGGAGATATTTTTCTAACAAAGATAGAAATGACTCATATGCCTATGAAAAGATGCCAACATCATGAGTCATAAGAAAACTCCACATCAAAACTATAGTGAGATACCATTGCATACCACTAGGTGGCTATAGTAAAAGAGACAGGTGTTGGTGAGGATGTGGACCAAAGTATTACACATTGCTGGAGGGAATAGAAATGGTTCAGCCGCTTTGAATATAGTATGACATTCAAAAAGTAAATGTAAGCCAACTGTGGTGGTGCCTGCCTGTAGTCCCAGTACTTGGGAGGCAGAGGCTGGTGATGCACCTGCTGTGAGACTGAGGCCAGCCTGGTCTGCATATTGAGTTCCAGACCAGCTGGGGCTACAGAGAGACCCTGTCTCAAAAACAAACAACAAAAAAAAGTAAATGTAGAGTTATCATATGACCCAGAAATTTTCCATAAATTTGAGCAAAAAGGAATGAAAAAAATACATTCACCCATGGGGGCTGGAGAGATGGCTCAGTTAAGAGCATTGGCTGCTCTTGCAAAGGACTGGGCTCAATTCCTAGCACCCACATGGCAGCTAACAGCCATCCATAACTCCAGTTCCAGGGGATCTGACAGGCTCTTCTGACCTCCACGGGCATTGCACGACACGGTTGCACTTACCTGTGTGCAGAAAATTACATGCATACCCATAAAATAAAAATAATAAATAAAATATTTAAAATGATAATAATTTTTTAAAATACATTCACCCAAACACTTGCACACAAATGTTCAAAGCAGCAAAAACTGGAAACTGCAAAATCCATCAACTGATAGATTTAAATAATGAAGTCCATAAATACAATAGGATTAGTACTCAGTCATCAAAGAAGAATGAACTGGCTAAGTGTGGGGGCCCAAACCTAACCTCGGCCCTAAGGAGGCAGAGGCACAATGATGACAACTTGGGCTACGCAATAAAACAAAGCAAAACAGAAGTACAAGTAGAGCAAACTGCCTGAACATTTCTTTGTAAGAGTTGGCATGTCTTCTTCAGCAGCTTTTATATGGAGCCCAGCACTTGTCCTCCATCTGAGCCAACCACTCAGAATCAGCCATTCGTCATATCTTTACAGTGCCTTTGGAGTACCCCGAGGTCGTCACCATTCCCACCTCTGGCTCTCCTCAGCCAACCCTGTGACAACCCTCTCAGAACTACCACCAGGACACACCGCCCTAGCAGCCTGGTGCTCTATCTCCTGCGTTTCCCACTCTGATCTTGTGGATGTGGATCCCTAGTCTCATCCCTAGCTGATGAAGTCGCAGAACCCATGAAGTGGCAGAGTCTTCAGCACATCAAAACCCTGGCCACAACTGGGAGAGCAGGACCCATGGCAGCACGTGGATCTGTCCTCCCAGAGAAAAGCATGGGTCAGCCAGTACTGCAGCCTCACAACCTGGCCACTAACAAAACGATCCCTGCTTGTGTGATTTCAAGACTTATTACCTGAGTGAGCAGGTGAAATCCATGGGACGACTGAGTGGCCATGCAACCAACCTGTGCAAGAAAGGAGCCCTGAATTTGTCATAGCAGAATGTCTTTGAGCAGCACACTCTGGGAGACAGAGACAAGAGCTGACCCTTAAACTGGCTATCTATAGACGCAGGTGACTTCTCTGGTCATGAAGGCAAGGGTATGCATGTTGGGGTTATCCTTTCTATAAGCATGCCAAAACATTCACTTAAGTCCTTTAATTTGTGCCACTCCTTCAAATAAACAAATTTGGTTATTTATACCATTGTGATCTTGCAGAACAAGGGAGAAAAGTGTTCAGAAAATATAGTCCAGCATGGTAGGCAAGGCCTGCTGCCCAACACGCTTCAGAAGCAGCTGCCCCTAGCAACCCGTGTCTGCTCACTGAGACAGAGTCCCAAATGTTCTACGACCCTCTGAAGCAGTGCCACTAGCTGGGAACCAAGTGATCAAACCCATGAACTTCTTGAACTTGTGGTAGACTTTTCACATTTGAACAAGAACAATTCCCTTGCTTCCTTTGCCTCTCCCCAAATGGAATGAACTACTGGTTCCTGTGGATGAACCTGGAGAACATTTTGCTACACGAAAAAAGGCATAGACACCACATGTTGTATGATGCCATTTCTATGAAATATCCACAATAAGCAAATCCATAAAGACAGAAGGGGAAGGTTGGAAATGACCTTGAGGGTAATGAACATGTTCTATAATTAGATAGCATCTTAAAGCTTTGTGAATGTACTAACCCTATCACATGTCATGCTAAAATTATGAGTTTTAAAGTATGTTCTCTCTTTTGTGTCTCTCTGTCACTCTCTTTCTCTGTCTTATTGTTGAAACAGGTCTCATGTATCCCAGGCTGGCCTCAAACTTGCTGTGTAGCGGAGGATGACTTCTGATCTTCCTGCCTCCCACCTTCCAAGTGCTGGGATTACAGGAGTATGCTGCCACACTGGTTTTATGTGGTGCTGGGGCTCAAACCCAAGGTTTCATGCATGCTATTTGGCAGGCAGTCTACCTACTGAGTTACATCCTCAGCCCATATTCTCAATTTAAGAATCAGCTTACAGGGGGCTGGAGAGATAACTCAGTGGTTAAGAATACTAGCTGCTCTTACAACCCAGGTTTGGTTCTCACATGGCAATTAACAACTGTCCATAACTCCAGTTCCAGGGGATCTAACACCCTCTTCTGGCCTCTGTGGGCATTGCACACACATGGTGCATTTATATGTGTGCAGACAAAACACTCATACACAAAATTAAAATAAAACAAAATAAATTTTAATCGACTCAGTGGATAAGGAAAAGCCAAAAGAATTTGAATTCCACTATCTGACTCACTTTTCTTTCCTTCCTTAGATATTTGGAATATGCCTGGCACAGAATTTGGTGAGTGATATTGAAGCTGTCAGGGCTAGCTGGTAGACCCCTGTGACCAGAGCTGCAAGACACTGGACTGACCCCCTTGCTGGCCCTCCCTGTGCCAGATGTCCATCTGTAGGGACCTAATCACAGAGGCCTCCTGAAGTCCCACCTAATGGAGCGCCAAGAACTTGCTCTCTGTGGGGTTAAAACTGGGAAATGCTGCTCACTGACAGAACTTTTTTTAAAAAAAAGAAAAAAACAGTGTGAAAATCGCTGTGCCGTGAATCTCTACTGTAGCCATGAATTGATGGACTGATGGGTACTCTACAGGAAGGCACAAGGGGGAGGGTGGGTACTGCATGCCCTTGTTTGTGGAGAATACAGTGCTGAACACCACAGAACACCGACAGCTGGGAGACGCAGTGCTATTCCTGTCATTCCTGGGAGGGGTAACCTTGTGTTCTCTGTTGTGCATCTTGGCTAAAACTTAGCCCCTCACCCCCAGGGCTGGGTGTTTTGAAATCTCTCCATTCACATTTCAAGAAACTGTTGCAAATATCCTCTGGCAAAGAAAACAGCTCCCCTGTGGTTCAGATTTTGAGAGAGGATGGTCAGGTCATGCAGGCGGCACATGTACTGTCCTGGAGGTCTCTTCAGGAGGGAAGTGTAGCCTAAGTGCACCCAGCTAGGATGGAGGAGACTTCTTGATGTCCTATTTTAGTGGGACTGATCTTTTTCTAAGTAGCCCAGCCTGAGCTTTATCAGTGAAATCCAAGGAGAAAATGAGATCAATGAGAGGCATTAATTAAGTACTCCCTCACCCCACCGTAACAAATTAGTGATTGAATTCTTTGGAAATTCTGAAATATTCTTCATGGTGTTGGGTTTTGTTTTTGTTTTCTGGTTTTTTGTTTTGTTTTGTTTTGGTTTTTTTGTCTCCCCCAAACCAACAGCTATGATACAATCCCTCTTAAATTTTAAAATGTTTTCTTAGCTTGAATATTAATTTTTTATATGATCTTAGCCTGCATGACCTGAGACTCTGAAACCACCACATTCCTTTGCAGTGGACATTTGAAAGTGCCAATCAGCCTTTATTTCATAGGTTCCTGGGCCTTAGGAGGTTGTGGCATGGTATCCCAGCCTGACTGGGAAGGTCTTTGCCATGCCCTGGAAACGCTCCCAGGGGTTGGGTTCACCCTCTCTCCCAGCATCCAGTTTGGTTTCTGCACCCTCCCCCATCCTCCTCACTGAATGGAATAAAAACCAATTCCGAAGCAGAGTCAACGCCATCAAAAAGCATTTAATGAGATGTTTTTGTTTGTTTCATTCCTGCAGTTTTGGTTTTCATATACATATATATATATGTATATGTATATATATGTAAAACAAAGCCTAGTATAGTGCATGGCCAGCTCTCTGTCCTTGCTGAGGCAGCCTCAGGGTGGTGACAAAGCACAAGTGCTCTGGAGGGGCATGTACCAGGCTCAGCCAGGGCTGTGATGCATGATAGAAAGTCGTCTCTGGGCTCCTGCTCCAGTGCCCAGTGGGAGGGGTGGGTTTTGGCCCCAGATTTTCATCAAGCTGGTATTCCCTCGATGTCGCTCTCTTGGGGAACAGACTTTAGTTTGTGGGACGCTGGGAAAATAACAAGCCTCGGTGACAACAGTGACACATTTGCCAGCTAGCATTCTTGGTGGAAATTTAGCTCAGTTTTCTATTTCAGCCCTACACACATCGCCGTGGCTGATGGACGCATCAGTCTGCACAGAGAAAAGGCAGACATTCCTGTAAAGTCTTGTCTCCGCAGTTTGGGTGTGTGCGTCTCTGCATGTATGTGTTTGTGTTGTATAGGTAGAGATGTTCCTTCTGTACCTGGATGTGAGGTTATGTGACTTCACCCCATCCACACCACAGCTGTCGTTTGTGACCTCCCAAATGGACACTCATGTGCCCATTGGCACTTCTGTCTTATTACCTCATTCTCCTCATTCGCCAGTGAACTGCATCTGGCCAGTTGATTCAGAATCAGGCAAGATCCCTACCCTGTGGCACATCCAGTGAAAGGCCAAACAGCAAGCCCAAGTGAGTTCTCAATTTTAATCACCATTTATTTTTTACACTTGAGAGTGATTGTAATAAAGGCTGTCATTAATAAACTTGGTTCTACCTTACACAGAGTTACATCTTTTTTCTTCTCTGAATGTTCTGGAAGTTTCAAATCCAGTGACCCTCAGACTTTATGTGTATCATACACACTGGAATGACTTGTTTAAACACAGGATAGATGGCTCAGCGGTTATGAGCACTGGCTGCTCTTCCAGAGGACCCAGGTTCAGCTCCCAGCACTCAAATGGTGGCTGACAACTGTCTGTAACTCCAGGGGATCTGACACTCTCTTCTGGCCTCTTCAGGCACTGCATGTATGTGGTGTGCTGACATACATGAAGACAAAGCAGTCATACATATAAAATTAAAATTTTTTAAATATATTTTTAAAGGGGGTTGTTTGGATGAGTTCTGGGAAGAGGGAACCATGGTTGTGGGGGTGAGTCTCTTTTGGCTGCTAAATGTAGACTGATAGACACAGAGTCCCTTGAATGGGCTTTCTTTGTTCTTAAGGTTGTCCACTACTGTTTACAAACCTTAGGGACCTTGTAAAACAGATCCCAGACCTTGCCTCTCACTGTTCTGGAGTGTGGACTTTTGTTTTTGTAGCCCTGTGTACACTTAATACACAGTGGACCTAGATAAATTTATGATCTTTATAAGAAAAAAATTGCTCATAGTCCCATAAAACAGTAATCTTAACCGAGTTGAAAAACACTTGTGTCGGGGTTGGAGCGATGGTTCCGCAGTTAAGAGTACTGACTGCTCTTGCAGACGACCCAGGTTCAAATTCCAGCTCCCACATGGTGGCTAACAACTGTCTGTAACTCCAGATCCAGGGAATCTAATACCCTCTTCTGAGCTCCGCAGGCATGGCATGACATGGGTGCACTTGCATACATGCAAGCAATATGCTCATACGCATAATATAAAAATAAAATTTTTCAAAAAAGAAAAATATTTGTGTTTCTATAGTGAATTTACTGCAAAAGACTATTGTCTAAGATAAAATGGAAAGGTTCACATAGTACTCTCAGACCCTGACAGTGTGTCCCAAGACTTGTTTGAGAAATACTCTACTCACTTCCTGGATATAGGAAACAGAAGTATTTTGATTTCTAGGAACTTGTTAGTAGTGCATGAAGCTGGGCAAGCCAGGTTGATGTCCCTTATTATCTATGTGGTGTAACGGCCCTGCTCACTTCCCTTCAAGCTCTGGCCATCAGAGGATCTCACAATGATGCTTTGTCTACAAGGCTCAACACTGACAGAAGTTTCTTCCTGTGCACACAGACTTTGGGGGAAGACTACTGAATTTCTTTCTATTTCTGTTTTACTGGTTTCCACAAACATTGTTTTTATGTGAAAATGTGATGTGAGTTTTTTGTTTTTTTTTTTTTTAAAGGAACAGTAAAAAGTAGAACTTTGAATCCCAAAATCCTTGAAAAAGAACTTGGGTTTCTTTTCCCAGGGTAGACCCTGACATTTTTTGAAGCTCTCTCGCTCTCTGCTGCAGGCCCAAGCTGACTTCGCTCTGGCGATACTACTTAGAAGTGTCTCTGCACTTCTGTTTCTCGGGGAAACATTTGACCACTCATGGCCTTGTCTGGGTGGGCGGGAACAGGATCGTTTTGCAGTTTGTGGTGCTGCTCTCAGAGCCTTTTCTGGCTGTCTTGGAGCAGAGCCCTGGGAAGCTGGTGGGCTGAGCAGTGAGGGCCAGAGCCCAGTGACCCAGCTGGCCCTCCCAGCAGGCTTTGTCATTCAAACAGTTTCTTGCTTGCTCCATCCCTAGGGAAATCTGTTCAGACCTCCAAAGAAGAACTGGGAGCCTCCACATCAACACTGGCCATTGTGACCAGGACGCTGGGGCAATGGTCAGTGACAGCTAGGTGCTGCCCTCAGAAGTGGAGGCCTGGTGTTCAAGCAAGAAGGAACAGCATGGTGGACATAGACAAGTGAAATGGAAAACATACATGATGCAGGGCACAGTGGTTAGGTGTTCCTGGGTTAGGGCACAAGCAGGGAAGAGAGGCTAGAACCATGTAAACGTTCCCTTAGTCAAAATTTTTATTTTTATTTTTTGAGAGGCTTACTATAAAGGTAGAGTTTATTAAACTGCAGTTTTTAGGACATTCTTGGTTTGAGACATTAATTATAGCATCCCTCTGGAGGTTTGTGTTGAGTAGATCTCTTATAATTTTGCCACCATGTTGATTCATCTTCTGGTTAGCCTGATAACCCTTGGGCTCCACACTGGTGGGAGCAACTTATTCCTCCACCTCTAGGAGCTGGAACCAAAGTAAGTCTAAAGGATGAGCACGTGAATTCATGGTCTTACACTGTGCACATGAACTCCAGAATCAGCAAGCTGACAAGACAGTGTTGTCCCATCCTGTTCCCCATCCTGTGCAAGCTGCCTTTTAAGTCTTAGAGCATTGATTAGAACAGGAATGTTTTAATGGCCTGCCCTCTAGTGCTGGCCATAGAGAACCACAGCTGGCTGGGGCTGGAGCATAAGGTCCTCAGGCAGATGAAAATGCTGCTCAACATGTGGGGAAACGGGGCTCATGCCACGACTCCGAGGGGGTGGTCATTCCTCTGCACACTCAGACCTGCATGACTTGTCTTGGAAAGCTGAGGAATAGCGTTTTGTTCTCATCAGTATCCATGTCCCAGTCTTACCTCTGGTGTTTTATTACGTTGTTGCAGTGTGCAGGTCCCTAGGAGCTGGCCCTGCCCTCCTGCAATCTCGGATGCAGTTTCTAGAAGACGGTGGCCACTCTGGTCTTCTGCCAGACAGGTGTCTTCCAGGTACCATAGGGGATGGAAGATGGAATGGCAGGCTGTACCCTTCCTCCCAAGGCACACAACCCACACTGGAGGGGTTTGTGCGAGCCAGAGTCCCAGGTCCTAAGCTGCATCTCAGATCTTCCACACAAGCAACTATCCAGAAACAAGAAATCGGACAGTCTTGAAACTTCCTCTTAAAATCATGAGTGTGGGTCTCCTGGAGTTAGCTTTGATCTGAGGATTTGTAACATTTATTTTTTGAGACAAGTTCTTGCTAAATAGCTCTGGCAAGCCTGATACTTCTTGCTTGGTAGCTCCTTCATAATTGCAGTAATCCTCCTGCCTCGGCTTCCCAAGTGCTAGGACGACAAGCTTGTGCCACCCGCATCTGGCTGCAAGCTTGATTTTAGAGGCTGCAGAGACCATGACTTGAATTTTAGGTGTTCATCTTGGTTAAACTGGGCCTTCAATAATCCATACCCTGAAGTTCTAGACAGCAGAACCTCAGAACATGACCTTGTTTGGAAACTGCTGTGGATGTAATTAGAACAGGTGAGGTCACAAGGGAATAGTGTGGCCTCCTGCTCCAATGTGACAAGGGTATATGAAAGGGTCTCTGTGGATACTGGCCCATGGAAGGTGGAGATCTCCATGACAGGAAGGCAAAGATCTGGGTGATGTGTTCATTAGCCAAGGAATATCGAACTGGCCAGCTGCCACCAGAAGTTGGGAACAGCAACATTTTGTTGAGATAGGGTCTTGGTATTTATCCTGGGCTGGCCTTAAGCCTGCCATGTAGCTCAGGCTGTCTTTGAACTCACTCCTCCTGCCTCAGCCTCCCAAGTGCTGTAATTACAGTGCACCACTACACCTGGCTATCTTGCCAACTTTTATGGGACACTTTAAACATAGAGGATGCGTTATTGCACTGTTAAAATTCTAAGGGAACATTCTGTATTTACTTAAGTAAACAACCTCAAATGCCACATGCTGCGGTCACCGCCAGTGGTGGCTGCTCCTCCGTTCTCGTGGGTGCCGGCTCCTTTGTTCTCACGGGCGTCAAGGCTGCTCCTCCCACTCGCCCTGGGCTGAGGCTGCTCTTCTGCTTGCCTAGCGCTGAGGCAGCTCTTCTGCTTGCCCTGTGCTGCCTCCTGTCATTGCCGCTCTGCCCTGTCCCGGACCCCAGGGCTGGTGAGGAGACTGTGTCAGCAGAGCTGCATTCAGACACAGGAGACCAGGTTCAGTGACACAGGTCTCGTTTATTACAGGAAGGCACAAGCTTATATAGGGGTAGTGGTCCAATCACAGCACAGCCAGTAGGATACCTTATTAGCATAACAGGTTTAGCATCCTATCACAGTACAGCAAGTAGGATACCTTATCAGCATCATCCTATTAGCATAACAGACTTAATGTCCTATCACAGAATAGAGGGTAGGATGTCTCATTGGCATTCTGGGTTTCAGATTACAGAGCCTGGATTCCTGGAAACCATGTGACCCTGACAGTTGCACTATCACCCTAGGCTCAAGCCTGTCTCCCACAACATGCTACAATGACTAAAGGCATATAAATAAAATGGCCAAGGTTCATGCTTTGTGCCTTTAGTCTCCCTACCTTGTCACCAAATCAGCCATTCCCAGCTGCAAACAGCTGCTGATCTGAAGGATTCCTCTGTCTGTTGAAATAACAGGGCACAGTTACAAAGGCTTACTCTGTTGTAGGCACTGTGCCACAAGATCTCGGGTTTCAGAGGAGCTGTGAACCAATGGGTGGAATCCCCACAGGTGAAAACTCTAGACTTTGTCAAGAGCTAAACTGCTGCTCTTCCAATTCAAGAAGGAAGAGGCTGGAGTAAAAAGTCCTAGGGATGCTGGGTCGGGGGAGGAGGAGCTGCCGAGGAGGGTGGGGAGGGCTGCAACTTCCAGCCTGCTAGTGGTCCAGGCAGTAAGGTCAGGTGTGGAGCATGGGGTTGTATTCCATTCCACACAGGCAAGCAAAACCTTGCTGAACCACTGGACTACCAGTTATGATCAGTAATCTTGTCATTTGCAATAAAGATCTGAAAGTACAATTTTTAATAAAATTTGACAGTGTGGGCACAAACCCCTGCTGTCAGAAATGCTTTAAAATTATTCCAAAGTGTTTGACAGAACTGTCACTCTGTTGTTTTTGGCTTTTTTGAGACAGGGTCTCCCTATAGCCCCAGCTGATCTGGAACGCTCTATGTGGACCAGGTTGGCCTTGATGTGAGATCCTTCTCCCTCTTCTTCCA